GCCCCTAAATTTAATTTGGCTACATTCCGCCATCTTGGATTTAAGTTTTTTTTTTGGTTTTTTTGCGATTTTCAAGCTTATTTTGCATTTTTAGTAAAAAATGGTTAAATACAAATATGTAGAGAATTTAATCACCCACATTTGTTATATAGAAGGTTTTTTGCAAATAGAATTGTTTATTGTAAAAAATTAGCAAAAACTGCGAAAAAGTTTTACCTTGTCACGGTTTTTGCCATTTTTTGACAATTTCTGTTCAAAATACATAGCATATTGAAATTCCAGAGTTGTAGAGAATTTCAGTCTTCACAACTTTTATACCTACATTTTTTTTGTACGCCGCTTAGATCCCGGCCGAGAACGTGCCAAACATAGCGATTAGCCCAGTAAAATTAGATCAATTTGGTAGGAAAAAAAAATAAAAAATTTGTAGCAGCGATTTTTTGATGTAGTTTACTTCTATGTGGCACGTAGATCCTGGATCTACAGTCTTGTCCCTAAATTTAATTTGGCAACATTCCGCCACCTTCGATTTATTTTTTTGGGTTTTTTGCGATTGGCAAGCTTATTTTGCATTTTTCGCAAAAAATGGTCACATACAAATATGTATAGAATTTAATTTCCCACATTTGTTATATAGAAGGTTTTTTAAAAATAGCATTTTTTATTGTAAAAAATTTGCGAAAACTGCGAAAAAGTTCTACATTGTCACGGTTTTCACCATTTGTTGACAATTTCTGTTGAAAATACATAGCATATTTAAATTCCAAAGACCTCTGTACCTTTTGTACCTACATTTGTTTTGTACGACGTTTAGATCACGGCCGGGAAAGCGATAAACATAGCGACGTACGGGATACACCGTAAAACTCATTTCCACACCACCGCTGAAGTAGAGTTTTTCGGCGCGTTTTTGTTATCGTGGTATCCCCAGTAGGCCTTATCCACGGGCAACGTTTTTTGCTTTTCAATGAAAGCAGGTGAAGGTGTGGAAATGAGTTTTACGGAACATCCCGTACATCGCTATGTTTGGCACGTTCTCGGCCGTGATCTAAGGGGCGTACAAAAAAAAATGTCGGTATAGAAGTTGTGAAGACTGAAATTCTCTACAACTCTGGAATATCAATATGCTATGCATTTTGAACAGAAATTGTCAAAAAATGGCAAAAACCGTGACAAGGTCAAAATTTTACGCAGTTTGTGCTAATTTTTTACAATAAACAATTCTATTTGTAAAAAAACCTTCTATATAACAAATGTGGGTAAATAAATTCTCTACATATTTGTATCTAACCATTTTTTACGGAAAATGCAAAATAAGCTTGAAAATCACAAAAAACCAAAAAAAAAACTTAAAACCAAGATGGCGGAATGTTGCCAAATTAAATTTAGGGGCAAGACTGTGGATCCATGATCTACGTGCCAAATAGAAGTAAACTGCATCAAAAAATTGCTGTTACAAATTTTTTTAAGGAAAAGTCTATTTTTACTGAGCTAATTTGGGAAATTTTCGGGTATGCAGTTCTGTAGCCCATTCAATTGTANATCCCCAGTAGGCCTTATCCACGGGCAACGTTTTTTGCTTTTCAATGAAAGCAGGTGAAGGTGTGGAAATGAGTTTTACGGAACATCCCGTACATCGCTATGTTTGGCACGTTCTCGGCCGTGATCTAAGGGGCGTACAAAAAAAAATGTCGGTATAGAAGTTGTGAAGACTGAAATTCTCTACAACTCTGGAATATCAATATGCTATGCATTTTGAACAGAAATTGTCAAAAAATGGCAAAAACCGTGACAAGGTCAAAATTTTACGCAGTTTGTGCTAATTTTTTACAATAAACAATTCTATTTGTAAAAAAACCTTCTATATAACAAATGTGGGTAAATAAATTCTCTACATATTTGTATCTAACCATTTTTTACGGAAAATGCAAAATAAGCTTGAAAATCACAAAAAACCAAAAAAAAAACTTAAAACCAAGATGGCGGAATGTTGCCAAATTAAATTTAGGGGCAAGACTGTGGATCCATGATCTACGTGCCAAATAGAAGTAAACTGCATCAAAAAATTGCTGTTACAAATTTTTTTAAGGAAAAGTCTATTTTTACTGAGCTAATTTGGGAAATTTTCGGGTATGCAGTTCTGTAGCCCATTCAATTGTAGTCTAAGAAAGTGCCAGCCTCAAGTCCTTAAAAATTACCGTAGTTTTTTTATAACTTTTTTTTTTGTGGAGGGTGTTGCGAATTATTTTTCATATAAAAAAAAAAACAAAAGTTTGATCATGTGTTATATGGAAGAAAATGCTCAACTGCAAAATTATATAAAAAGCAATGGTAACTCTTAACGACTTTAACTTAACTTTTTAACGACGAGACTTGCACTATCTTAGACTACAATTGAATGGGCTACAGAACTGCATACCCGAAAATTTTTCAAATATTCTTTAAAAATTTGGAAATTCTGATAACAATTTTTTGAACATTGATTAATTTTTTTACAATTTTTGCAAGCTGTTTAACTTTTATTATTGTGGTTTCTGTTACAGATTGAATTATGTACATTTTAAATGAAAATTATTAAATATAAAAAAAATTAACATAATTGCAAACCATATCATTTTGAATTTCGTTTCTAATTAGTTGAAAGCAGGTGTATGTATGTATTAAACTAGCACATTACGTTGAACTAATTGCATTTTGCTGCAGAAAACCACAGATTGGGCCACAAAAGTGTAACGAAATGAGTGACGGCACAAAGAAGATGCGAGCGGCACCTGCCTTATCCCAGACCTAGGTGTAGTGAATTGAACTACTAGAGTTGGTTGTATGTTAGCCCACTGTCTGTGAAAATCACACGAAATACAATTTGAAATTTGCATAAAAACAAAAATATGTATGTATAAATTTACAAACGGCTAAAACGTGCAACAAAAACTAATGGACAACACACAAATTGCGCCGTATTTTAGATTCAAAGATATCGGTGGCGGTATAACAGTTCACTGCACCAACATGCACGTCATATGTACAAATATATGTACATACATATAAACCCACATTAATATTTCTATGCACATACTATCCCATCAACACTGCCATTCACTTTGGCGGCTGCAAACGCTTGGCAACCGGCAAAACAGGCACACACGGCGCAAATTCATATTTTAATAGAAAATGTCTTTTTGCGTAGAAGCTTGTGCATCACCTGTTGTTGTTTGTTAGTGTTTTGAATTCGAATTAGATTTTTTCCTTTGCAACAATTTTTGTATGTCTGCCCATACGATTGCACCCAATTTTATATTTATACATTTCACTGCCAAAGGCGCAGTACCGCGCAAGTAAAGTTCGAGAAGGATGCGGCGGCACTCCTGCTGCACTTGGCTTTGCTGCTGTGTAGTTCATTTTCAAATTTTCTTCACGGCCACACACACGTGAACTTCACATATTAGCTGCTGGCATTGGAATTTTTGGTTTTTTACATTTTATTTGTGTTTTTTCTTTTCTTATAGTTCAATGCAATCTGTTCGAAATCTGCAAATCTGAAAGGCACATCTTCAACAGAATCACAAGAGTCATTGCCATCGGAATCGCTTTCGCCACCTCTTAAATCAGCTGCTATGGCACCTGTGGCTGATAATGCCCCTGCGGCTAACATAATAACCACTGAGAAAGGTCACTGCGATATTGAGCCAAAAGTGGTGGTTTTAGGTGTGCCCGCTAATGTGGCGCTCAAAACGGACAGCAATGTGGATAAAATTAATAAATCTAGTGGTATGTAATATATATAGATTTATTGAATTTTCGCCTATAAGAGACTGAATATCATCTTTATTTTGCAGAGGTTCATACGGATTTGAGTGAGCCGAAAATATCAGAGATGCCCACAGCACTGAATTTCAATGCGGAAGGTAAGAAACACCAAAACATAACAAAAATAATAATGATTACCTTGTGATAATGCAGTGGTAGGCACACTCATCGCCTATGCGGTTGGAAGTGAAGTCTTGCGGGAAGTACTTTAATCTTCTTTGCCACGGTATCAATAAAGCAACAGCCGAGCGTCAAATACGTCACTCGTAGAAGCTTTTAGTAAACCAGTGAAGAGTTAGCTAAAAGTGCCGTTTTGCAGACACTTTTGAAAAATCTAAAAGTGCACTTAACACTTTTGATTCGAAAAAGACTCATACATATAAAAGTATGGCAAAATGAGCCATATTTTAAATTTTTTGGAAATGCGTTTTATAAGTATTCCTTTAGTTTACTAGCAGAGTAAGTTTTTATGAAAATACAAAAGTTAGACTTAAATTGGTATCTGATGTAATTTAAAAGCTTTTTGCTTCGCTTCTAAAATTTGATTTTCGTCAAAAATGGGTTTTGCATTGATGTTGACGATATGTACATAAATATATTATGGTATCTTAAGCAGGAATCAAACGACTGCCTCAAGTGCACCAATCTGCCACATTTTTATTGTGCTGAATTGGCGCACAATAAAGAAATTGTCCCAATCAAATTATGTGCAGTCACACATTGCCTCATTTCATACAATTGTTGTTGCACCCGGTTTATGATGCTTGGGCACAATAAGCACAATATTGGCCTCGATTTGCGATGTGTAAATTTTTTGTGAAATCGCACGATTGGGCTAAATTAAGACAATAATTGGCACATTGCGGAAATTGTGTTATCTGGCATTTACGCTCCGTACGAAAAAATTGGTTCTTTCCTAACGAAAGAAACGTAAAATTTTATCTGTTTTGACTTTACCAAATTCAGAATCATTCAGGAGCTGGAGCATTTTCAGACTGTCTCAACTTCTTACCAGTTAAAGTGTATTAAGGAAATTATACTTCCATCGAACTGTTGTCATGTCCCTTTGAATTTATTTTAAATCTATGTATTTACATGGTGTACTAATAAATCATAGCAGTTGGGGTTTCAAAAAACACAGTTTTCTGTTTCTCAAAAGCCTCATGCCTAGCCCATGCAAAGCACTATGAGAAATTTTACCAATTTTTAATTATGGAAAAATAAGTTAATAATTTAAAAAAAACATTATTTTTTTTAATTCCCATTTCCACATTTTTGCAAAAAAAAATAAAATAAATAAATTAAACCCTTGGCATGCCAAACTGGACATTTGGTCAGTAATTCGACCGAATTTCCCATAGTACAAAGACGGGGCAGAGACACCAAATGTGTTCATCATCCTCTTCAGTGCAAATAAGGGCAAATAAGATTGCCATGCCGATCCCAGTGAGGTGTTTGTGCCACAATAAATTGGTTGAGCAATATATCGTCGGTGATATCGGGAGGGCTATAAATGGTTGAGGACCAAGGAATACTACCTGTTCTGATAGATAATTGGGAGGATATTACGTATTTTCTTCGATATATACTCCAGGTTCTAAGCTAGTCTCAGTTTTGGAGCATCATGGATCTCAACATTGTAGAATATATATTATGTGTAAATATATGTAATATTTAATTGTGTCTAGTATATACAAAATGTATATCCTCAACAATTGCCAAAAACACTACATTACAAAAAAAATCAATATTTAGCACAGAGCATATAAACGACGTCTTAGCTACCCCTAGCTTTGCTAATATTGAAAAATACGTAATGTCCCAATTGTTTCTATCATTTAGATCGCGCAAAGTTAACATTTGAGGATGGTCTTATACCCACATTAACAGCTGCCATAAATGAGCACGAGAATCGTGAAAATGTTCCAGTAAAAGGTGAGAACAAAATTTATTATTATCTTTTTGGAGTTTTTTTTTTTCAAAAATTTACTATAGAAAAAATCATGCAACATTTTGTTTGCCAATCGGAAATTTTGTATAATCCAAACCATATAATACATATTTTATTTTTATTTATTTTATTTTAGATGAGTCCAACAGCAAACCAAATCAAAACCTGCAAGTACACATCGAACCTGATACGGCCACCTCATCGGATAATGAAACTTTCGCAGAATGTCAATCATACCAAGCATTGGATGCTAATAATGATTATGGATTTATAGCTGATGAATATAGTTTTGAAAATTCCGAAATTGAGTCGTACTTTAGTGCCGCTAATTCGAGAAATGTAACTCTTACAAATGTAGCCGCAGATCCTTTAAGTTTACCTATGAATAAATTGCCAGAGCAAAGTGAAAGTGACTTGCAGTCAATGCTATCTGCATTGAGCAGTGATGAATTGTTAACACAGCAAACTGTCAATCCATTAGACGTCACTTTTGGCGACGAGCCTATGGATGTGGATGTGAGTTTTGCCGAAATAATTGTTGGAGGCAGTGAATTGCCTATTAACAATGGAAATATATTACCATCTGACACAACCAGTGTAGAAAATGTGGTTGAAACCAAGTCTGCTGCTGCAGAACTTGAGTGTCAGCAAGTGAACTCTACAGAGATGGCAACAAATAACGCAGATCCAATCGATATTTTTGAAAATGAGGCAGGGTATGAAACAACACCATCTCATATTGTTGTACCACTAAATAAAAGTTTCGAAATACCAACTTCAACAACAGAAATAACAGGAACCCCTTCGCAGGCAATTGCCGATATGACGCAGTCAACTGTAGCTACAACATCCGTTCAATCAGCATATACCAGTCAGAATCCTATTGATGAGTACGACGTAAAAAATTGTACTACCGAAAGTAAACTAGAGGTGAATAAGTCTTTAACGGGTTCGCACAATGCTTTGAACTTGACAAACGATATGAATTCTTCAACAAGTAGCTGTAAAAGCTCAGCATCCTCCCCGAGCTTCCCCATCAAGCACAAGGGAAGCTCAATCAAACAATTTCCGCGCTCTCCCACTGCTACTGCAGCGAAGAGTATGCCGTTTTTGGAGAAATCCGAATATACGGAACGCATCGAAATTGAACGGAAGAGATCAACAGCAAGTGAGCCAAAATTGGCTTTGTGCGGTTCTCGAAAAACATCAACGGCTGATGAAAAACCAGCGCAGGTCGCAAAGTCAGCAAATGATGCCATAACCCCCATTAGTGCTAACGTGCATTCAACTCTGACCCCCAATGAAAATAATTCATCCACTGTCGGGGAGATAAATTTTGAACACAACAGCACATTTGATGGCAGCGCAAGCGTTGCACCTTTAAAAGAAGGTAATTTAACTGACAGCTTTGATAAACGTCGTACCTTCACTGTAGCAGCTAGTGTCCCAGAAGAAACAGAGATCCCTGCACAAAAACAAGATAGTGAGAGGGATAAAATACGCACATTTAACATGCCAAGCTCGGAGAACAAGGAAGACCCAAAAACCAATATATCCGAGGCTGAAGATAAGCGTCATACCTTCAATTTAAAAACGGAAGAACCACAGGCAAATACATCTGAAGCTGAAAATAAGCGCCGGACCTTCAATTTATCTGCATCTATGCCCATATCTAATACCGCAAACAATAAAGATGTGAATATACCTAT